TGCAATTCACTAAATCCACCCACTTTAGGTTAAGTCACACCTACTTCTCTCTGTAATTCCTCCCAGATGCAGGACCCACACGTGCGCGTACACAACACACACACACACACACACACATCCACATCCACTGGAAGGAAGATGGCAAAATATCAATAGATTAGCGGAGAGGTTGTTGGCTATACATTTAACCCATAAATTACCTCAATTAAAAGATTAACTATTGAATTCAGAGGATTGTTGGGAAGAAAAACAATGAATCAGGAACAGCAGATTATGGAGAGTGACTGTTTTATAGTAGAAAAATATTTAAAGTTAAAAAAAAGTTCCGGAAGTTTCAGGATTTTTGTTTTATTTTGTCTCTCACCCTTAGCATATGTAACAGCACGTGCATGCACTTATCGGAATGTCATGCAGCAAGGAAAACAGCACTTTGATTTTTAACTTATTTAACAGTATTAATGAGTTGGGTTTCAAGGAACAGTATGACTACTGTTCATTGAAAACCAAAACATCGATCTTCTTAAGTTATAGTGTTGGAGGCACAGGGCATGTCTTAGCGATTAATGATCAGTTGGAGGAGTAGATATCTCAATACATAGCCAAGGGCCATTAACCCCAACTGGTCATTAATTCCCAAGAAGGTCTTGTCTGAGGTCATTATTGCTAATAAAATGCACACATGGAAAGTTCCCTCTCTTTTTGCCTGTGTACCTAAACATACATTCACGTTACATGCATTGTTGCATGTCATGAAGAAAAAGGTAGTATTTCACATGTCCAGAAGCTCAGAAAAACTAAGCCTAATGAGAAGTTTAATACACTTAAACTCTATATTCAATTTACCTTTCATTTTTGGCGGGGGGGAGTGGGAAGTGGGAGGAAGGATAAGTGGAGGAATACACGTGTGTATGCCAAGGCTATGGATCTTCTGCAATCAGATACCCATATTCTGCTAACATGTAGATAGAGGGAAAAATGAAAGGAACAGGCAAATGGGATTAGAGTCACTGATGCATATGAATAGAATCAGCACATATGATCTAATATCAAAGGCAGTGTGGGGTAATGGCATTATCCGAGTCATAATATATTAGGTACCAGAACGGGCATGAGGCACATTTAGCAGTTAGGTCAAGTTCATCTCTCTCTTCCATCTTTTTGGATTATGCTATTATATCCCTTCTCAGCATAGCAGTCTAACCAAGTCTAAAATGCTTCTGGCTTTTCAAGAACCCTTAATGAGTTATCACTGTCTTCTGAAACTATCTCTTTTTGCTTTCCATTCTCCTTTCACTGTCCTCCATGAAACTGTCCTTGTCTTGCTTAAATCTATATGATACTCCTTTGAGCTATCTTCCATAGCATCCCAAAAATATCTTGATTTTAGAAATCGTTTCATAGTGCTTTAATTATTTGTATGTAATCAACCACTTCTTTCAGAAAAGAGTCTTATCTTTTTCCTCATCTTAACAAATGGGGACTAGCTGTGATGTTAATGACTGTTACATATATATTCTTGTACGTATGTTCTTATTTGCATGAAAGTAGTAAGTTTTTAAGGAGAACCTGTAAGTCAAAGAATGTATCTATTTTTTACTGGCATAAATGACAAATTCAAAAATTGCAAGATTCATTTCTTAAGAGATTGAGTAACTTAAAACTCACATAATTTAAAGCTAGTCCTGATAAATTTTCCTGTGGACCAGCTAAAGTGACTGTTTTGTGCCAGTAACAAACATTTTGTCCTACTAGCTTTAAAACAATACAGTTCTTTATTTTTTTAAGAATTTATTTTAAATATATTATTTAAAGAATGACTTTATTAGGGTTTTATTTTATGCCTTAATGAAATTTTAAAAACTAAAATTTTCATAAAGTGCTTCTGATGGAATAGATCTTTTTGGTCAGAAGGACATTCTTGTTTTCTCTCAAATTATATCTAATTAATACTGCTCAAGGAATGTCAAGTAAATGTGAATAAAATATGTAATATGTGGCATATTTAGTACAATATTCTTTTTTTAAAGATTTATTTATTTGTTTTAGAGTGAGCAAGCAAGCATGCATGAGCGAGGGTGGGGTGGGAGGGGGTTGGGATGGGCAGAGGGAAAGGCAGAGGAAGAGAATCCTCAAGCAGACTCCCCGCTGAGTGTGGAGCCCAACTCCATGCTGGATCCCAGGACCCTGAGATCACAACCTGAACAGAAATCAAGTGTTGGACGCTCAACCAACTGAGCCACCCAGGCGTCACACTTAAATGAGTATCTAAATTACCTTGATTGTTTACATATGCAGTAATTTTCTAAATCAAAGAATTAAATATGCACAGATTACACACAAGACAGAATAGTTAGGTAAGTCCTATAGGTATCTTTGAAGATGATAAGTAAATTATTATAATATAAAAATATTTATTTTTAAAAAATAAATATATATAAAAATATAATTTAATAAGCACTCATATTCAACATTTCATGAAGAAACATAAAATTTGTAGTGTCCTTAAAATGTTTGTCAAGTATAACAATAAATCAATACATCCCTAAATTTTATTTTACTTCATTTTCCTAGATTGATCTTAACTTCTGAGATTAAAAGTAGCTAGATCCTTGATATGCATAATATTTACTAAAGAGCTGATCTTTCATAACAAAGTTCACTTATATTAGACCTTCTCTTAAAACTAAATCAAATAGGGGCTCCTGGGTGGCTCAGTAGGTTAAGCGTCTGCCTTCAGCTCAGGTCATGATCCCAGGGTCCTGGTATCGAACCCCGCATCAGGCTCCCTGCTCACCGGGAAGCCTGCTTCTCTCTCTCCCACTCCCCCTACTTGTGTTCCCTCTCCTGTCTGTCAAATAAGTAAAATCTTAAAAAAAAAAAAAAAAAAGAACTAAACCATATAAACATAGAATATTTTGATATTAAATAAGTAGAAAATTACTTAAAGTATAAGACTTTTTTATTATAGCTACAGCTATTACCAAGAAAGCACAGAAATTATTTGGACAGAAGTTAAAGCAGGTACTACATCTGGAATCTTGCCTGGACGTAAGCATAGCAAGATCTTTTCTGTGGTCTATTTCTTAGAAAGACAGTGATAACTTTGTGGAGAAAGAAGAGAGGTTGAAGACTGCAAGAGTTGAAGATCACGTGATTCTACCATATTGAAAAGCACCCAAAGACTTAGGGTTTTAAGAGGCCAACTCTAGCTAAAGTCCTGACCACATATTTTTATCTACTTCTTATCTGCCACGTGACCTTGGGAGAACCATTTAACTCTATACCTCAGTTTCCTCATCTGCAAAATGAAGTAAATAATTATCCATCCTTTATGGCTATAGTAGCATTATTAAAAGATAAACTGAGACATATTAAAATTTTAAGTTTTTTTGAGCAAAAATTGGTTCCAGTCATGTAGTGCCAAACTGGAAGTGGTTAGCAGTGCTTTGCCTTCAGGAGTCAGGGACAGACTTGTGTGGAGAAAGTGCTGAAGCAAAGAAAGAATTAGCTGTAGCCTAAGGCCTAGTTGGTTGGCTGTGGTTGGTTATCCCTAATGTTTTGATTTTGTGACTTTGAGGCATTTATAGACTTAGATTTCCATTTGCTTAAGGAGGCCACCACCTCATCAGGGCTGCCTGAGTCTAATGGCCTCCTTGTTAATTTAAAAGCATTAAGTCATTTCATTTATGGAAAGCACTTTAAAACAAAAAGTATCTGGTACATATAAATATTCAATGACTATTATTTGTAATTATTATTATATGGCTTAGTTTGAAATATGTGTTTTAATTTATTCCATGTCTTAACAAAGACAACTGGGCACCTGGGTGGCTCAGTCGGTTAAGTGTCCAACTCCGGCTCAGGTTATGATCTCAGGGTCCTGGAATCGAGCCCCATGTCGGGCTCTTTGCTCAGCGGGGAGCCTGCTTCTCCCTCTCCTTCTGCCGCTCTCCCTTCTTGTGTTCTCTCTCAAATAAATAAATAAAATCTTAAACAAAACAAAAACAAAAAAAGACAACCAAAGCTTGCATCATCCAGGCCTAAAATCTGTAGTGGTGGCCCTGACCTAATCATTCCTAATTTTTCCAATTTTAAGTAGTCTTTTTATTTTTATTTTTTTAAAGATTTTATTTACTTACTTGAGAGAGAGTAAGACAGCACAAGCAGGGGGGGAGTAGCAGAGGGAGAGGGAGAAGCAGGCTCCCCACGGAGCAGGGAGCCTGACACCGGGTTTGATCTCAGGACCCTGGGATCATGACCTGAGCCGAAGGCAGATGCTTAACTGACTGAGCCACCCAGGCACCCCTTAAGTAAACTATTTTTTTTAAAGATATTTTTTAAAATTTATTTGACAGAGAGAGACACAGCGAGAGAGGGAACACAAACAGGGGGAGTGGGAGAGGGAGAAGCAGGCTTCCCGCTGAGCAGGGAGCCCGAAGCAGGGCTTGATCCCAGGACCCTGGGATCATAACCTGAGCCAAAGGCAGACGCTTAACGACTGAGCCACTCAGGTGCCCCTTAAGTAGACTTTTAAAACATCTTTATATCAAAAACAAGAAATTAACTCCCTGAAAATAACAGCTTTTATTTGCTTTTGCCTAGGAATCTTTTTCCTCGGGGATGATATGGGGATAGAATGGGCTTCTACCGGTATTCTTATCTGAGTAAAGAACTCATCAAGTTAGAAAGAGTTGGTTCATTCTTCATTTGTATTAGAACAAACAAGCAAACTTTAATAGAGGAAGAAATGCTAATCATCATAAATAGTTGAAATTTAGTTATGGCTTGATCTCTGCATCTGTGTAAAGGCAGACCTGAATTTTATTATTCAACTCTGATTTCTTTCCTTTGTAACAATTTGCAAGATAAACAAGAGAGAAGGAGCAATTATTTTTTAAAAATCTATACACATTCAGAAAATTATGATTTAGTACATTTAGGAAAATCTACAAACTGCTATATTAATAGCTATTTTCTTATTTTTTAGATTAACACCCTTTGAAAGAGGACATTGTTTTCATCATGACTGCTAATAAAAATGAGAGACCGAAGTCCAGGAGCCACAACTTTCACCTTTTTCATGCCTTGATGATGCTAAGCATGACCATGCTATTTCTTCCAGTCATTGGAACTTCTAAGCAAAATATTCCACGACTCAAGCTGACTTACAAGGGTAAGTGTGTAAATGTTTTTCAGATTGTCTTTTTGATTATTGTATTTCTTTTATTTAGAAATGCATACTGACTTCAGTGAAATGTTTATAGTATTGGCATCAGTTAAAAAAATATTATTACAGAACAAAGCCCAATTGTTTCTTATTTTTGTGAGGAAAATGGTGCCAAAGGTGTTCATGTACACTTTTCAGCTCATTATTTACAGTGATCAACTACTGATTAGCATAATTAGGAGATTTTGGTCTGTTGGTTATAATCAGTTTTGTATTAAAAAAAAATCAATCCCTAAAAATAGAAATACATTAATTTCATATGGTTTATACTAATTATTTTATCCCTAGTTCAAGGCAATTTATATTTAAAAACAGTAAGATATCTTTAAAAAAATTATCACACTAAGATACCTTTAAGATTTCAAATGTATACATATTTATTATTTTAAAAAGACCCTGCGAAAGGCTTGAAATATAGAGATGAAAAACTATTTAAGAAATGAAATCTGCTAAGCTAATTGTTTTTAAATGTTTAAATTAATATAAAAGTAAAGTTTATATGAGTTATATTTAGTCAACTTATGTATGTGTATGTTTGTGTGTATAGACAGACATATTCACAGAGAGAGAGAACGGGCCAAGTTTTATGCTTAAAGATCTTTTCTTTTCTTTTCTTTTCTTTTCTTTTCTTTTCTTTCTTTTCTCTTCTTTTCTTGGCTTCTTTAATACTTCAAGTAATGAGAGGAATGTAGGAGACTTATACTCCTTTATTCTGAACTTGGGAGGAAAAAATTATGCCTGCAGTTTTAATATCCTCTGATCTTTAAGACAAGTTACTTTCTGAACTCAAATGAAATATCAATAATAAAACCTAACTTGATGTCGAATGTAAGTGGAAATGGAATTAGCATTATACAATCCATTACACATTTCATATGTTGGCTTTGTTTGGAATTTATATCTCATGAATTAAAGAGTTAGGGCAACGTATTATTTTTGAGTTCTTATATTTTTCTAGGATTTTTAAAACAGGTGAAAAAGGAAAAACAGAATGTTGCCTCTGTGTGGTTGAGGAGAGGATTAACAGGCAAGACATATGAGGGAGAAATTTCTGGGATTATGGAAGAGTTCTCTATCCTGATAAGGGATGTGATTACTCAATTATGTGGATTTTTCACAACCCGTCATATGCAAAAGTCAGATTTGTTCATTTGCCTGTATTCAAAATTCACCTTAAGAAAAGGAACAGAAAACAAATATTAAACTCCAAACAATGAGAAAAGGAGAGAGAAAGAGAGATGCAGCAATTCTGAAAATAAAGAGGTTGAAGGGAAAAAAAAAAAAGGGGAACGCTCTCTGGTTCCTATGATATAATGAATAACATTAGAACATTGCACTGATATGTGTGAACAATGCAAAATAAATCAGGCTCGCAAAGACACTTTAGTAGTTACCAGTCACTGATGATTCATTATGAGTGAAGCATTGGTATAAGAACTGTGTGTTGGGGCGCCTGGGTGGCTCAGATGGTTAAGCGTCTGCCTTCAGCTCAGGTCATGATCTCAGGGTCTTGGGATGGAGCCCCACATTGGGCTCCTGGCTCAGCTGGGAGTCTGCTTCTCCCTCTCCCTCTGCCTCTCCCACTGCTCATGCTCTCTCTCTCTCTGTATCTCTGTGTCTCAAATGAATAAATAAAATCTTAAAAAAAAAGAACTGTGTGTTGTCCTTTCATGCTCACCACCACCCGGTATGGTGGGGATTATTATCATCCCCTTCCCTTATGTGAGGATGTGGAGGTACTGAGAAACTGAGAAATTTGCCAAGGGTCTCAGATTGGGTCATGGCTCAGCGCCTGAGTCAGCCTCATGCTGCATAGAGCCCAGGTGCCTGATCCTGTTTCTTAGGTCCTGGTCATTAGCAGTTCTTCCCTGATGCACTTAACGACCAGAGTGAACTTTAACATTTACAGAAGCACCATGCTTGTATTTGACTGATGATATAATTTTCAGTTGTCAAAATTAACAGAGTTAAGAGTTGAAGAAGGACACATGCTCTATTTAAGATCACTGGGTGGCCAAAAGAGATCTACAGACTTGTAAGATGTTGTGCCTTTGGATAAATGTATGGAAAAAGGTAGATTATCATTGTGATCATTTGAGTTCATAATCATAATTTCATACAAGTGACTGTAAAATATTAACCCCAATGTGGTAAGTTGATCATTGGAAAAATAAATCAATCTCTACAGATAGAGAAAAACATCATTAATCATTCCGTACAGCTGTTACTAGTTAGTTCATCTAGTTAAAGGTTTTTTTGTTTTGTTTTGTTTTGTTTTTGTATGAATGTGTTTTTGGACTTGGAATCAACCCTATGAGTTCAAAGTCTTGTTTTAGTTATTTCTGTATCGACTGTCACTCCTCTCAGCATCTAGTGCTTATATAAAAAGGGAACTGGTTACTTAAATGCTGGATTAAATGCAGTAAGAACTATTCTTTTGATGGTTCTTATATTATACTTTCTCAGTGTTGTATTTTTTAGGTTTTTCTCTACATTTAGGTAATTTACATGTCAAAGTCTGGTAAGCAGTAGCAAAGATTGAATGCAGGATAGGAATTACAAATATCTCCTGACCCACCCTCAAAAGATACACACACACACCCCTATGAGTTCCCCATAGCTACCATTAGCTATTAATTTCCAGATTGTATGCTAATAATAGAGTAATCATCTTTGCTAGGAGAAGTATTCACAACCCTTACAGGGCACTCCTCTTTCCACTTTAAAGAATACGGCATCTTCTCTTTTGAAATCATCTGTTGAGCCCTACCACGTCCACATTTCCCATCCACTTCCAAGCATGTGAACAGCTTCCCTGTCCACCTTGTCTATATCATATCTGAAAGTTTTGGAGGAAAGTAGGTCAAATCCTACTATTTTTAAGTGGGCTATTACGGAATATATAGTTATGACATACAAAATTCCTACCAGTTTGGGGTTATGGTGACAAAAAGTGCCTGTATACCGCATTCCTACTTCTGAGATAATGATCGTAAGTCTCTCTTGGCATCTTCCTTCTTTCCTGATCCTGAGTAATGAATTGAGATCAGCCAGTACCACCCATTGCTTAGATAGCTTGGGAAGAGTCTTAAAAGTTTGTGCTTTGGGCATTAAAACACTGCCAGAATGTGAGGTTAGAAAAATCAGCTAAAGTGAAAAATTAATTTTGTTTTCAAAAATAATTTTTATGGTCACAGACTTAGCTTTGTTTGCTTTGCTCTCCGTGGTTCATGCTTCCTTAGATGCTGACCAGAGATGCAGCCAGTATCAGTAGAGTTAGCTACTTTGAACAGCTGCAAGATTATTTTGAGGGATTTCTTAAAGGCCAACAGAAAATATAATAACCATTTTATGCAAAGAATGCTCTTTGATAAAGACTTAGTGTTGAACCTCTGAATCCACAGGAGCTTGTTTGGTTCTATTGTTTTGCAAAGAGATTTCCCTTCAGTTGCATATTTTGAATTCTTGCACATGTGTGCATACTAAATCTGTTTCTTGAATAACAGGTAAGGAAACTTGAAGATCAGGATGTTCTATATTTCTGGATTTCATGTTTTAAGTTTATTATATATATTTTGCCCTACAAGGTGGGCTTCTCACAGTCATGTGGACAGTTTATACTTCAGATGTAATAAAAGTAACTTTTGAGAGATGACCTATTTCAGTCCTGTAGTAGTGTAAACATTCTGTATTTCATAATCATCACAAAGGAACTCATATGGGTTAAGGATATTTATACCCAGGAATCATTAATATCTGCAAGATTATTTGTTTGAAAAACCAGAAAATGACGTAGGTAACATAAAGAGGAAATGGACAAAAACTTTGGAACAGGAGAAAAAAAATGAAAGTTAACTAATATACAAAGTCTCATTTCTTATGATGAATTGTAGGGTTTTTTTTCATATTTTTTGCTTTTTTGCATAGTCTCTTTAGCCTTTCTTTTTCCTTTCCTAATTTTAGATTTTAATACTAATCTACATGTGAATGGCTTATTATATATATATTACACGTATGTATATATAGGATACATGCATATGCATATATCTCATACATATAGTCTTTTTTCTTATCACATCCTTTTGAACCTGGCATAAAGAGAATTCAGCTATCAATTCCATTTGAATATTTTCACCCTAAAACTCTTGCTATCTCAAAGAATCACAGTAAACCCATAAAACACCAGCTTGTCAACACTGAACTCCCACATATTAGACACGAGGAAGGAAACTAACCCACTTAGTAGTTACCATATAGTCACCCATCCTGCAAATATGTATGGAACAACCACCTGTTCATTAGGCCCGAGAAAAGTCACTGTTCCCTTTGAATTTCTTTTCCAGACAAAGAGCAGGTAAACAAATAAATGAATATCATCTCAAATAGTGGGAAGTGCTATGAAGAATATAAAACAAGTGGGCGCCTGGGTGGCTCAGACGTTAAGCGTCTGCCTTTGGCTCAGGTCATGGTCCCAGGGTCCTGGCATCAAGTCCCACATCGGGCTCCGTGCTTGGTGGGGCCTGCTTCTCCCTCTCCCACTCCCTCTGCTTGTGTTTCCTCTCTCGCTGTGTCTCTCTCTGTCAAATAAATAAAATCTTAAAAAAAAAAAAAGAATATAAAACAAGAGGGTGACAGGCTCCAAGGACCCTACTTGGACTTTATTATATCTATTTGAGGATACCCTGAAAACCATTGTTTTTGTTTTTGTTTTTTTAAAGATTTTATTTATTTATTTGAGAGAGTGAATGAGATAGAGAGCATGAGAGGGGGGAGGGTCAGAGAGAGAGGCAGACTCCCTGCTGAGCAGGGAGCCCGACGTGGGACTCGATCCCGGGACTCCAGGATCATGACCTGAGCCGAAGGCAGTCGCTTAACCAACTGAGCCACCCAGGCGCCCATGAAAACCATTGTTTTTGAACCTATTTTTTAGATAAGAACCTCTGAGACTCAGAGCCTGAAGGCCTTGCCCCAAAACAAGAAGCATATATTAAGTGGCAAAATTAAGTTGTGTGTTTTTATCTCTGTAGTTCAAGGCCCACACTTTTGCCACCTGTTGTCCCTGAGGGAACCATTATTCAGAACACAGATATCAAGATACAAAAAATATATATAAGTTTTCACCATTACTTTTTTGGCAATATGTTCTTCTCAATAACTATCAAAGTACTATTTTTTGATCCTCCAAAAGTTATATGTATTTTCATAGACAAGAAAAACTTGAAATCACCTTTAATTTTTTTTCTTCTATTGTATAACTAAAACAATGTATTTAATAGAATAGTTCTTTGTTTTGTTGGAATCTTCTGAGAAATGAGTGGATTAATCTGTATATTTTTGTTTATTTATAAATTATTTAGCTGTGAAATGCAGCATGTGTCTCAGGAAGAGATTCGTGGTTATTTGACTCCTGTAACTTGTTTGATTTGACTAGTCTAACATTAGTTCTATTATCTTGATTCTGCATGATGTAACAGTGAAGAAAGCCAAACTGCTTAGGTTTTAACTGTTCCTACTAGTTGTGAGATACCTGGATGTTTATTTTCTGTGCTGTCCTTTTCTTATTTGTAACACAGTAAGTGTAAAAGTAAATCTAAATGCATTAATTTATTCAGTTCCAATCAGGATATTGTTAAGGTGTGTTGACCCATGTAAAGCACCTCTAACCGTGTTTGGCATAGTAAGCATTTAATAAATGCTATCAATTATTATTTTTTGTGAAATGTTATTATCTTGCTCCAAGTGAATGGTTACAGACCAAAGGTTTCCTTCTGGAAACAATTTGAAAAATATTATGTAGCTCCCTCTTGTTTATAACACATATTAAAATTGCTTCCACTTACTCCCAAAGCATTTTCTACTAGAGTTAGTTTCCTGCAGTTAAGTACCACCCACAGATTGTGAATTTATTAAAGGTATTTTCCAGTATTTTTACTGTTGTGGTCTTCTAGTAGTTAATAAGCCCTTACAGTTAAAAAGATCATTGTTGGCCTTGATAAGAGTAGTGTCTTTGATTGCTTGATAGCCCTCAGAGTGGGTTAAAATGTATCGTAAAATCACTCAGGGTTTCAGACCACATGATGAAATCTAAAGTGGGCATTTTTGTTGTCAAATTCATGGGAAAAGAAGCTGGCTTGCTCTGAATACCTCTCCCTAAGTACTTAGTGAAGAAGCATTATCAATCTTATAGTAAGCATTTTCATGTAATACATGTATTTTTCTATAAAGCAAGTCATTGACGGTTTAATTTTGGTAAATGTGCCATATTTGAATGGAGTCACTTGTTTTCCCAGATGTATTTTCTCTAAACTGAGGCTATTCAGTTGGGCTTCTGTGGTTTTAAGAGTTCAAGGATAATCTTATTGTGTATGAGATATTTAACTGTAAACAGTTAATAACAATAGTTTCAGAGTGCCCATTACATTTCTGGCCTTGTTCTGGCAACAGGGGGATATATCAGCAAATAGAAGAGGCAAAACTCCCTGTCATCATGTGGTTTATATGCTGATATAGAAAGGCAGATCATACATAAGTACATTGCATAGCAAAATAGAAGATGAAAAGTGCTATGGAGAGAAACGAATCATGAAAGTTAGCTAGAGAATGGTGGGGGTATGGTAGTCAAGTGTGGTGGTAAGGAAAAGAACTCACTGAGAGAGTGATGTTTTCACAAATACTTAAAGAAATTGCTGTTGCAAATCATGCAGATACTTGGGAAAGCAACATTCTTTGGCAAAAGGAACATCAGGGGCGCCTGGGTGGCTCAGTTGGTTAAGCGACTGCTTTCGGCTCAGGTCATGATCCTGGAGTCCCTGGATCGAGTCCCGCATCGGGCTCCCTGCTCGGCAGGGAGTCTGCTTCTCCCTCTGACCCTCCCCCCTCTCATGTGCTCTCTCTCTCTCATTCTCTCTGTCTCAAATAAATAAATAAAATTTTTAAAAAAAAAAAGGAACATCAAATGCAAAGGTTATGAGGTGAAAATGTGTCTGCCACGTTTAAGGATCCTAAGGAAGACAGTATGGCTGAAAAACAGTTGGATGGGGGAAATAAGTTCGACTAAATCAGAGAGTTAATAAGAGGGGGGGAAAAAGATTAGATCCTTCCACTGTTGTCATTGTTAAAACATTGGCTTTTAGTCTGAGTGTTATGGAAATCCTACTGGAAAATTTTGGCACAGAGGTGACATAATCTGACTCATTGTTATAGGATCATTCTGGTTTCTGTGTTGTAAATACACTGAAAGGGAGAATTCAGGGAAACAGACATGTTGTAATAATGCAGGTGAGAAATGATGGTCTGTGGGCCAGACCAGTTGCAGTGGAGATAGGAGAAGAGGATGATATGTAGGTAGAGCCAATAGGATTTTTTGATGGGTAGGATATGAAGTAAAAGATAGAGGGATCAAATCTGACTCCATCTTTTGTTCTGTTTTGTTTTTAACTTAAGGATGGAGATACCAATAATTGAGATGGTGAAGACTGTGAAAGAAATAGATTTGGGCGGGAAAATCAAGTGGACATATTTGCTTGAGAAGACAAGACTATTGGATGTCTAAGTGAGATGCCAGGAAGGCATTTGAGTATATAATTGCTAGAGTTTATGCAACATATCATTGGAGATATGAATTTGGCAGTTAGCCTATAGAAATTTTTAAATCCATGAGACTCTATAAGATAACTAAGGGATGTAGAAGAATTTGAAGGATTGAGTTCTGGGATTCTCTCAAGCAAGGAAAGTAGAGAAAAGAAGGATGAGCATCAGGGTGAACTGAAAAGAAGTGCCCAGAAAAATAATGTAGGAGAAAAATCAGGAGTTTTAGTGCACAGGAAGTCAATGAAGAAAGCAAAGGAAAAGAGATTATCAGCAGTGTCATATTCAGCTAATGTGTCTTCAAAGATAACAAGTAAAAATTAACATTAAATTCAACAACAAAAGTTCACTGTTGACCTTGATAAAGGCAGTGTCTTTGAGTGTGGGAGCCATGGCACAATTAGGTTGGATACTTAAAAGCATGGGCTCAGGGGCTGTAGACAATTATAGATAATTCTTTCAAGGGTTTTTCCTGTAATGGAGACATGGGCAGTAGTAGTTGGAAGGAAAATAAAATCAAGAGATTTTTTTTTTTCATGAAGTAAATAACACCATATTTATATTTTAGTTAAAATAATATAGGAGAGAAATAATCCATGATTCAGGAGAGATGTGGGATAATCCATACCTTACTGAAGAAAATATTGATGAAACTCCATTCTTTTCTCTAAAAACAGGCTACTTTTATGTATTTTATTTTATTTTATTGTATTGTATTTTATATTTTTTAGGTAGGCTCCTTGTCCAGGGTAGAGCCCAGTGTGGAGCTTGAACTTAAGTCTGATGCTTAACTGACTGAGCCACCCAGGTGCCCCAGGCTACTTTTAGAACAAATATTAATGAAACTGGCTTATTTTGCATATTGAACTATTATCTGGGTCATTGTCAGTGTCAGCTATTGTCTAGATGGAAAGAGAGGTCAAACAGATAAAAAACTATGTTTAAGGAGGAATGTGTTCAGTTTGATAGAGTGATACAGTTTTTTTTTAATAAACATTTTATTTATTTATGTGACAGAAAGAGAGAGAGCACAAGCAGGGGAAGCAGCAGAGGGAAAGGGAGAAGCAGGCTCTCTGCTGAGCAGGGAGCCCGATGTGGGGCTCGATCCCAGGACCCTGGGATCATGACCTGAGCCCAAGGCAGATGCTTAACCGACTGAGCCACCCAGGCACCCCGAGTGATACAGTTTTTAAGTAGTATATATGTTAAGAAAATTGATAAATAAAGATTTGGAAAGAAAACTCCAGAAAGGTGAAATAATCCCAAGGTCCCATAAGAGATAATTAAAAAAAAAAAACTAAAAACACTGATCCAAGTCTCCTGCTTTTCAGGTCAATGGTATTTATATTACAGTTTGTCTGCGTCTAACCCTATTAATTTGTAATAATTAAAATCTATTTAACACTGTATTTGAGCACTGTTCTAAACATTGATTGTGGAGGTTCACAAAGTGATGGAAATTACACAATAATGTAAGATACAACATACGATGTAATATTACCATAGAAATATCACACAAAAAAACGTTCTTGGGAAAAAAACAACAACAACAACAACAAAAAAAACGTTCTTGGAATTAAGAAGATAATATAAAAATCACTGAGGTCTACAAAGTTCAGCAATGTCCTCCGGGCAGGGTGAAAGAGAAGCAACATCATGAGACACTTTGGTTGTCTTTGGCTATGAATAAACCTGGAGGGGACATTAGAATGGTCATTGCTTAAGTAAAGGCAATTTTTTTTTCTGGGATTAAACCCATCATCTCTTTTTCGGTTAAAAAAGTTCCTTTTAAACAGATGTTATATGTGGTTTATTAATTCCATAAATTATTAAGGAGATAAAATTTTATATATGCAACTGCTTGTTTTAGGACTTCACTTACCTAAAATTTGACTCTAATTCCTTGGGTCTTATTAAAGGAATTTTTACAATGAGATTCTTTCAACACATGTGTAAAAATAAAAATTTAAGGTAATTTTAAAAATGAATGTCTTTTGTTTTTCATAGAAAATTTGACAAATTGCCTCTCTGCTTCTCAAGAACTAGTAATATATATTTTGCACTTTTGTAAGAGTCCTTTAAACATGCTGATTTAATCCTATTAAAAAGAGGCATAAATTAGAACTAAGTGCTTTTTTACTTCCAAAGAAAGATACTCATAAAGAGATTTGTTTGACTGAAGTCACAGTGAACCAGACACAGTCTAGAAAATAAGATAAATATTTCAGTAATCCCAGTGGCATGATGAACTGGAAGAAGCAATAGAATTTGTCTGTGGGTACATTCCATAAAAATGTAAGTAGAGTGTTTTGAAAAAGAATCTTGTTTTTCTAAGTAAATGCTAAATTTTCAAATATAAAATATAGCTGTAATAGTTGACGGGGCTTCAAGTCAGAAGACCTAGATGTTAGCTCTTTCTCTGGCATGTACTGTTCATTAGAACGATGATTTGCTCTTTCCGATCTAGGTTTTCTCATCTGGAAAATAGTGGTAATCCTCTGGTTTTCCTTGAGGATCAAATTAAATAAAGAGGGAAAGCTCCTTGAATGTTACAAAGCACAAAATGAATTTTATGACAGGTTTCAAAGAGAGTCCAAACAATAGGTTATTGAATTAATTGATGTAAAAATGGAAGATCTTAACAAATACAGCTATTTTTAAGCAACTCTGGTAGAATTTCTGCTACTGCAAGTAACAGGAAATTTACTTGAAAGTCAAGAATAAATCATTATTTGTCATTTTGCATCTTCCTTCCAGGTTAATGCATATTAAGTATATGTATTTCCCTTCTTTGTAAGAGAAAACTGAGGGCGAATAGTTCACATGTCATTGATTTAAACTAAGCAGGTCATTTATCACTTATAGCAATTAAGTTAGTTATAATTTAAGTTAGGTTAATTTAGAATAAGTTAGGGATGTGCAGATTTGACCAACGTAGAATTGTAAAGGAAAAAAAAACAATCTGGCCATCTTGCATAAATTAACACATGCCTGAAGTGTTTGCAAGGAACTCTAGTGTGGAGAAGAGGGAATGGTCCAGCTCTTCTCTTCAGTGCAGTGGGGTCACTTTGCACTTTAGCTTTTCTACTGCAACTTTGGTTCAAGGATCCGTAGCATCAGCATAATCTGGGAGCTTGTTAGAAATGAACAAATTCAGCCCCTCACCCTCTTCTAAATGAGAAACAAGAATCCCAGCTGATTTGAAAGCATGTTAAATCCTAAGAAGCCCTGTTCTAGAGTGTTCTGTTTCAGATCTCCTTCTCTTTCCCCACCCCCCACCCTCCACCCCCAAGCATTTGGAGATAACAATAGGAACCTTTAATGACTGCAAAACATTAGAGCCACAGTTGGGTCTCCTAATGGCACATTAACCTCCCTAAATTATTAATAAGCCTGTAATAAATTCTGATTTAGATGGAAGGTAGGTAAACCAACACACATAAGAATCACTAGTTTGAAAAATTGTTAGTTAAGTGTTTATTAGACTTCTGTACAAGAAGTGGTGATGAATTACAGCACTGATTTAGACATTATTCTTATCTGCAAGGGCTTCTAGGTTTTTTTTAAGGGACAAAATAATTGCAAATATATTAATGCCATAGGATTAGGACATTTTTTGAAATGAATGCCACTGAAGAATTTTGAATAAGATTGGGTATGAAATGGAACTTTGAACATTGGACCAAACTCAGACTTTATTGAATGAAGTATATATTGGCATTGGAGGATTTTGGTCATGAAATTGACCTAACTTAATTGTGATTTAGGAGGAAAAAACAGAATAGACAGCATCATGTGGTAGAGATTGGTGAGGGAGGAGGGCATAGAATAAAGTTGTTTATGAGCCAGTTATAGTAATTTAGAGAAGGAGTAATAGGGATCTTGGCTTGGCTGACAATAGGAATAAATATTTGAGAAGGAAGAATAGAAAATTTGCATGATCAAATATGTAAGACTAAATTTAGCTGGATGTTGGTGTGAGGGAAGTGAAATAGACTTAGAAGTACCAATTATTTAAATACAGGAAAAAAGAGTAAGGGACCAAAGAAGGAACACTTTAGGATTCTGATTTTTTCAGCCTGGGAGCTAAGTCATGTCATTAAGTCATTAAACTCAGTAAGATCAGTTGATTAGGGGAAAACGACAGTATGAAGCAGGCTATTGGAAATTCTGAACTGTGATTTGAGAGAGGCAGTGTGGTTTTAGGTGTCTATTTCAAATTCATCAGCAGAGATCTAGCGATTTGTGAGACAAAAACAATTATAGGAAACTATAAATGGAAAACATTATTTCATTGCTTATGCCCTATGAATATGGCTTGAAATTGAGGAAAACATTATTCTATGACTGTATTTTTAATCTCCCTCTTGGAAGTCTGTGCGCATATTTTAATGCATAGTCTCTGCACACCTCTACCAGGAATATCTTCCTTGAGCATGTAAATAGAGGACCTTTTCTGTAGAAAATCTATAGAAAAATTCTACTGGTAATTGACATCTGTTTGTTGGGAATGAAAAACCAAACTAAAATTTTCTTGAATCAATGGAAATTAAATTTTAGATCAGATGTCACACTGAGTGCCCAGCATGGTAAATGAAAAACAGGAACAAAAACAAACAAAACCTAAGACATATACAGTCCAATTATTTTAAACTTCATAATAGCAAGAGTGAAGAGGTGATTCAAATAAGTTCCAGAAACAATCAAGACATATTCAAAGGCTGGGGATACGATGACATGAGACTTCTCAATCATGACTTTGAAACCCAGAACGTCGTGTTCACATGCCTCAGATCACTGAGGGTGAATGCTATTCAACCCAGAATTCTGTAGTTAGCCCACCTGTTAATAAGGGTAAATTAGAGGCATTTTTACACATGGAAAGTTTCAAAAATTTAAGTCTCAGTCACCCTCTCTTTGGAAGCTTCTGGAGATGTGCTCACCAAAGTTAAGAAAATAAATCAGGGAGGAAGACACAGGATCTAGGAAAGATCGGATTCATAATAGGAGAGAGGTAGAAGGAAGTTTGAGAAAGCTGTCTCTCAGGTGAGAGAACAGCCAATCTAGTTTGTAGGGAGAAGAAGAAAGGGCCCGGTAGGGATGTCTCCAGGAGAAAAACAAAAAATAATCTGATAGAATATCATATGAAAATTTTATGGAGGCACTTTTCAGAAAGTGTGGAAAGATTTGATCATGATTTTAAAACTAAGCAAATGTCACAAACTGGGAAATTATTAATTAAAGCAACAGTATTTTTCAAGAAAGTAAGTATAATCAGAAAACTACTTTTCTCAGTAGGGAAGAATATCTACATTGCAATAATAATGGAATCATTGAATTCAGCTCTCATGAAAATGGGCATGTTATTATGTTAGGAGCTTGGTTGGAGGGAAAGAGTTGGCATCAGAAAGCTAAAATTCTCAGCTTCTGTAAATGGGAATTTAATGAAAATGTCTGAAAATAATGTTTTAAAAGATAGTAGTATATTCATATTACTTAGAAACATAAAAAGGAGGGACACCTGGGTGGTTCAGTCCATTAAATGTCTGCCTTCAGCTCAGGTCATGATCTCAGGGTTGTGGGATCGAGTCCTGCATCGGGCTTCTTGCTCAGCAAGGAGCCTGCTTCTCCCTCTGCTTGCCTCTGTCTCTCTCTCTCTCTCTGACAAATAAATAAAATCTTAAAAAAAAAAAAGAAATATAAAAAGGAATAGAAAGTAAACTACTAAATGTTTTATTATGGGGACTAGACTGGAGGTGGACAGAGGAGGAGACAGATGCCTTACCTACGCCTTTTAATGTTACTTTTTGGTATGCATATACTTAATTTTGACGAATATAATTAATTTTAAAAAGTAATGTTGTTAGAGAATATTGTCCTTTTTAAAAGTTATTCTCATAGCTCTTTGCTCTGTACATTAATTTGTCGTGATCTTAGCTTGAGGAATTATTTGTTCCTATCATATTTGCCTTGCTATTTAGAATCCATAGTAAGTGGTATTTTATGGTATGTCCCTCTGATTTTGTAAAAATTAAATTTACAGACTTGATTGAAAACCAGTCCATATTCATTTGTGACATGGTGTCTTGATTTTAAACATTCCTTAAAATTTAAACAGTGAGAAAATCTCAAGGCTATGAAGGGAGTTAAGAAAATAATTGTCACAGTAGAATCAGTCTTCCCGGAATTATCCTGTCAACTACTTCTGAGGAAGTTTGTTCTATTATAACCTTGTTTTTCTGGAAAGATACTAGGTACTTATAATGTTAGTCTTTATTTATAGGTCAGTGGGAAAAATTATCATAGCAAAGCTTTAGAGAATTTTAAAGAACTAATTCAAAGTAAGAATATAAAAGGATCATAATCATAAATTATGACTCTCACATGTGATGGATTATATAAAGCATCTGCTGTTGAAAGCTAGCCAATTAAGAATAAACCTGTGTTTCAAAAGCCTGGATGTCGATGGAAATGTGACAGTGTAAAATTGCCACACTCTACTGCACATCCTGTCCTGGCAAGAACAAACCTCTGATGATATAATAGGCTTTATTTGTTTCTAATTTATGTTTCCCTACATGGTACCATCTGATTTATTGTTGACATAGATAATGTTCTAATACCTAACGAGCAGAATGATCTTCAATATTCCATTGCAAAAGAGCAAACGATAATCTGATTTTTTTTTTTTTTTGAAGGAATAAGACAGGGCTGGACTTCTCACTTAGGAAAGTATAAAGATAATCAAATACCTATCATTTTGAAGTAGTCTTTTGTAAGGATTTTACATTTAAATATTTTTTTTAATGTATTTGATATTGTTTGAGCAGCTAGCTATGGAGACTGTACATAAACAGAGAATAATTTGTGTTTTTGATAGGTGGAAGTGAGCTATCTTGGTAACCAAAATCTTTTCATATGATCTCAAGCCTCAGAAAACCAACTGAAAGTCAGGCGGGGCCAATTTAAGATGAGTTAAATTTCCAAAGTTTGATTCCAAGACAGAATCCATGTCTTTCCTTGGACCAAACACTGAGAAAGCAAATACAAATGCACAGAGAGCCAAAGGAACTCAGTGAGCCACAACATTAGGGACTAATTTTCATTTTGGAATGAATAGCTAGCTCCCATTACTCCACTCCTGACCCAAACCGAAAACAGGCTTTTTTTGGGGGGAATGGTTTGGTAGCCAAAACATTTCTGGAAACTGTGGGAAGAAGGAATTCCATAGAAGGAATCTTTAGATACTAACAGTCAGCATGAAAGCCCTGGGGATTCAGAGATCAAGGAAAGAAAGCTGAATTTATGGGGAAGACAATAATAAAAACTCCTTTACTTCTTTACTTAGACAGCTTTTCAAAGAACACACTGGAGAGGTGACCATATTTCAAGAAACCTCAGAACGGCCTTACTGATATAATGGTGATTTCCTTTCAGGAAAAATAAGAGTGGATGTGGCAAGGATTTGTGCTAAATATCTTTAGATGGTAGGGAAAAGCAATCGGGTTTTGATCTGGGTCCATTTTGGGTTGGAAGCTTTCTCTGCTGAGGAATTCTATTCCTTACATTGGAGTAGATTAGAAATTGACTTTCCTCAAAGGTGATTTTCTTCTTACCCCACGAAGTTCTGCCTTTGGTAACTTTATCTTCTTAAAAAAAAATGTTAAGTGTTCTTCTTTAAAGGATGTGGGAAGCCATTTTTTAGCTATGTAGTCTTCTTGTGAGAGAAACTGTCATCTCCACCCAGTTCAGGATTTCTAGCAATAAATGTGATTTCAAGGGTATGGGATCTTGTACACTTAACAGTCAAACATTGAGGAAGTCTGTGTTGCTTAATCCTAAATTTATTAGATTCAAAGTGACCAACCACTCCCTTCCTTTCTGGGGTGAAGAGGAAGAATGTAGACCATCAGGTCAAATGTTCTTCAGGCTGAATGAACAATTGTATTAAAGGACACTAAAAGGGAGATACAAAGAGTTCTTTTCAGAACATGTGTTTATTTCAAACAGGAGCAGGGATTATGGGATCTGGAGCCTTCCCCTCATATAGAGGGGCATCTGGCTGTGAGTGAGGAGTTTCATTGTTGCTGAGCTTCACCATTAAGAGCAAATTGGTTTTGTGAAGCCCACTTAACCATTCTGGACCTCACTGCATTGGTAACACGTGAGTCCAACAAGGATCATTGATAGAATGAATTTCCTTTTAGTTGGAATTTCTTTATGTTCTGTTTCTGTTTTTCCCAAAGGTAGAGGCGATCTGCTCCAAGGAACAGAGAAATGCCCAGGAATAGATGTGGATGAGAGTTTACTTGATACCTCCTTAATTTTAACAAAGTTAGGCATAAGGTTCTAATGCCATAGAACTCGATTATTGGAAGGAGCTTAGAGACCATTCTGTGTCTCCACCCACACATAATGATGAGAGACCTGAAGTAGCATTATTTGTCTTGCTAAAAGAAATGCAGATGGGAATTTCTTTCCATTTTACTATTAAAGATTTAACAGTCTACAACTTTAAGTACTCTTGTCCTCTATCACAAGCATATTTCATTTTTGTTGTGGGTGAGCATTTCCTCTGCACTAGGCCTTCAGATCCATGAGAGTGGAACTTGCTATCAGAGTCTTTGCAACACGTGCAGAGTACCTGATGGTCTTAGGTGAGTCAGTTGTTTGCCTTCAAGGTCAAGTTTTATAAAGGTAGTGACTCATTTTTTTTAATGCTAGAAATGAGAAATTATTCTAAATATGGTTATTAACTACAGGTGGGAAATACACAGTTTCTGTGACTTTTGGAGAGGTATCAGGAGATGTTGATGAAGACTCTGGACATAACCTTCAGAAAAATGCACATGCACATACAGACATAGGAAAAATCATGTTATTCATAGGGTTTTTGATCCTCAGAACCATCCTGTTGCTCTGCAGTGGCTTATCGATCATGGAGCATGAACACTTTGTCTGTGTCATCATTTGATTAAAATCCATCATGGATGGATTTCCATGTTTACCCTGGTGGAATAAATTAATAATCCTTGTTTCATTTATTTCAGAAATGACCAGCTTGTAGCTTTTCCAAAAGTATATTGCTAGACCAAGAGTGGGAATTTGAGGGCCTGGGACATTGAGTGACACTACAAACTGAGAATAAGGTGATAGGACAATGAATTGCTAAAAGAGCAGTTAGAAGGAGTGATTATGGTGGATTAGGTCAAAGGTTTAGGGAGAACAAAGAAAGCAGTTAGGACCTAGAGGCAAATGCTGCTCTCATCTGAGGAGACGTGAGGCTGGCTGAGGATGTACAGGGCAGGCCTTCTCTGAATGGCATGTGTGAAGCAACATGCTCACCCCACCATCCAGAGTTTCTGTTCAAAAAGTAAACTGTGGACAGTCTTAAAAATTACATGTCTGGGGCGCCTGGGTGGCTCAGTCGTTAAGCGTCTGCCTTCGGCTCAGGTCATGATCCCAGGGTCCTGGGATCGAGCCCCACATTGGGCTCCCTGCTCGGCAGGAAGCCTGCTTCTCGCTCTCCCACTCCCCCTGCTTGTGTTCCTGCTCTCGCTCTCTCTCTCTCTGTCAAATAAATAAATAAAATCTTTAAAAAAAAAAAAATTACATGTCTGAGAGTTGCCAGTTTAGAGAAGAAAAAAATAAAGCTCTGAAATATATTGCCAAATTTTAGTCTTTAACATTCACGAGTTTTCAGTCTGTAGAGCCAGCATCCATTTCTGATTCCAGAAACCCTGGGAGTATATTAGCTTTAGGTGTGAAGATGTGGACTCTGGACTTAACGACCACCCCCTCTGGTTGGTCTTTTTTTTTTTTTTTTCCCGGGCTTTAGTTGATGATCCTGTGGAAACAAAAATGACTTTGCTTGGTTTGGCAGAAATGCAAGAAAGATAAGCTGCTTGGGGAAGAGGGAACCTGTTCCAATCCCTGTCCCAAGGTCTTTTCAAAATGTATGCGTCAGCCTGAGAAATTTTCATATGTAATCCTAAATCTAATTATTTAGTTTGGCTACAAAGGATTGGTGAAGCATGCTTTTAATCGTTTTGATGCTAACATTGTCACAAGGCAACATTAAATCATTTTGAAATGATAATACTTTACGTTAGTCACTATTTCGCAGCTGCTTTTCCTTGTCACATTTGAAACTAAACCCAATAGAATTGGCTATAGTAAAAGAAAAGAAAGCAAGTGGCTACCTCACGTTTATTTTCCTGGTGGTAACAGTAGAAACAACAAATGAGATGCAAGATTCTTAAACATCCTGCTCCCATCATTGGCATTGCTGTTATTCAGGGACTTACCATCTTTCAGAAATTTCTGGGTAGTCTCCTTGCTCCCACTTTTCCAATTCTCATCCATCCTGAACACTGCAGCCAGACTTTTTTTCCAACACTCAGTTAAAGTTTTTGTCACTTTTCTATGTAATATGTTTTAGTGGCTTCTTGTTACCTAGATGATAACCAAACTCCCCAGCGTGCCATTTTGGGCTCGATTATCTGGAGGCTGCCTTGATGTCCAGCCTCACATATTCTGTATGTTCTAGCATACCAAACTATACTTCAATTCCACAAATATTTAATAAGTACTTAATTTGTCTCCAAGACACTGAGCTAGTGCTGTGGATTCAAAGATAAGTTAGACATAGTCTTTGTGCTGAAGGAGCTCACACTGCAGAGTAGGAGACATATTAAAAATGCAGTGTGTGAGGGCACCTGGGTGGGTCAGTCGGTTAAGTGTCTGCTTTTGGTTCAGGTCATGATCCCAGGGTCCAGGGATTGAGCCCCACATTGGGCTACCTGCTTAGCGGGGAGCCTGCTTCTCCCTCTCCCACTCCCCTTGCTTGTGTTCCCCTCCCCCTGCTTGTTTTCTCTCTCTCTCTCAAATAAATAAATAAAATCTTTAAAACAATTTTTTAAAATGCTGTGTGTGAATGTGATGTATGGTGATATATGCCCTTGTACATTCCCGTGTTCTTCTGCCTTGAATAAACTTCTCTTTATATCTTTCCTGTAAAGCTTCCATTTGTCTTTCAACACTATTGTCAATTATCATCTTCTTTTATACGGTGATGCACAATTACTTGAAATATTTCTTTTGTGTATACTTGTATTAGAATTTATTTCACTTATATCGTATTTTGTGTATGTATCTATTTATGGATTGCTCTGTGAGCCCCTTGAAGGCAGGGCTTGGTCAGGACCACACCCTTAACTACATGCTCAATACCTAACATGTAATAGATTCTTATAAATATTTGTGGACTGGATACCTTTTTTTTTTTTAAGTAGGCTTCATGCCCAGTGTGGAGCCCAGTGTGGGGCTTGAACTCATAACTCGGAGATCAAGACATGAGCTGAGATCAAGAGTCAGACACTTAACTGACTGAGCCACCCAGGCACCCCTTGAATAGCTTTTTAATATTAGTCCAGTATTATAAAAAAAAATACAGAGAAGTTCTCATCTTCATGACTCAGGTTTAATGGAAGACGAGATAACATTCTTCTTTGATAGAACTTACTTTTCCCAAACTGGAATTTAATAATCATACTCAAAGTAACAGTTAATATTTATTGAACTTTTCCTATCTTCAAGCTATTGTTTTAAGAACCTTAAGTAAATTATCTCCTTTAATTATCCTAACACTTATATGAGTTGGGAAATATAATGACTTCCTTTTTACAGATTTTGTAGAAAATTTAAAAAATACATCATCATGATTGTAATAGCTGATAGTTATATAGCACTTACTGTGTTCCAGGCACCATTACAATGCTGATCGTATATTAAGTACTTTATTCTTCACACCTCCATGATTTATTAATAGCTTATATTATTCTTTCCTCAGCTCTGCTTTATAGTTAGTATGGAATGTTTATTGGATATGAGTCCTACAAAAATAAGCTTACTGTATTTGGAGATGCTAGAAAATATTATTCAATGTGTCTCTGGTCTGAAAAACTTTTAAAGTTATATCTAGCTTAATAGAAAATAATTAGGGTAGAGTTCAGACTTCTATCCAGTGTACATAAAGCATGATTCATAAACATTAATAAGACCACCCTCACCTGAGGGCGCCTGGGTGGCTCAGTCGTTGAGCGGCTGCCTTCGGCTCAGGTCATGATCCCGGGGTCCTGGGGTCGAGTCCCGCATCGGGCTCCCTGCTCGGCAGAGGGCCTGCTTCTCCCTCTCCCACTCCCCCTGCTTGTGTTCCTGCTCTCACTACCTCTCTGTCAAATAAATAAATAAAA